GGAGGTAATCGTTAGGATTACACTGCATTTCAGATTTGAAGTTTTGTAACATGTTTCTGAATAATCGCCGAAGGAAAGCTGTGTTTTCTTCTTCTTCTGGAAATTCATCGAAATGGATGATATATTCATTTTCATGCGCTTTAAATTTTGGAGAGGTCTTTTCTTTAGCTAGTCTCATATGATAATACTCAGAAATCGGTTTAGGTGGTAAATCTATTTCTCTCTCGGTTCTTTTTCGTTTCAATATTCGTTGAGCCTGTAACTGTTTTTCTCTAGTAGAATCCATGTCTATCAGCTGATGGCTCTGAGGGTAAAATGAACCCAAAGTGAAAGAAAAACCGTATTTATATAAAGTGGATGACGTCACAATGCATAGGTAAGTTTTATCGTATTTTTTGCACACGCCACTTTATAGATGATGCAAACAGGTATATAAGAAAACGCAGGTAAAACGTATACTTCTTTTGCACACGGCCCTAAAATATTCCTATAGTATATAAACCAGAGCTAGGAGTACCCTGCGCTCATTATATCCATCATGTTTTCCCTGTGGAGATTTGTGTATTGGATTGATGTAGAAAATACAATTTGTCATTACTGTGATCAGAATACGATGAATTATAAAACATTCACAGTGTATAACCCCTGTCCGGAATGGAATTGGAAAACGTACAGGATTTGCCAGCATTGTGAAATGCCATTTCCACACTGGTTTAAAGATGATGATCCTTCCATGGAGACTTGTGCCTGTAGCTGGTGCCTTAAATATTTCATCTGGAAGAAAGGAATTGAGAACATACCCCCTCCCCGATGGATGAAAATGACCAGGAACAGACCGTTGAAAGAATGTATGATGTGCTACCAGGAAAAGACTCAAGGAAAATGGAAATGCGGACAATGCAGGCAATATCCGTGTTGTGAAAAGTGTGTGAAGAAACTCTTTGAGACTTCCTACCAGAAATGTCCCTTATGCCGATACAGTGGAAATTAAAATCATTTTTGTATTTTTCATTCTGAATAAAAATCTGTCTTGTTCTAGTATTGTGTGTGTTTTATTGTTTTTGTTTTTCAGAAAAATCCAGGTTTTTGTTCTTGTCTTTCAGTAAAAAAAAAAACCAGTTTGAACTGGTTTAGGCTAGACTGTGAATGAATGCGTGACGTCATAATGACATTCTTTTGAGTCGCTGCCAAAAAACCGTACTACCAACGTACCAATGTAAAAACACAGTGTAAGCGGCCCTCCCCCCCCCCAGTATTTAAGGGAATAGGTTAGGGTTAGGGGATAGGGTTAGAGGTCTAAGGGGGGATAGGGTTAGTTAGGGTTAGGGTTAGTTAGGGGCTAGGGGATTAGGGTTAGGGTTAGGGTTAAGGTTAAGGTTAGTTAGGGCTAGGGGGTTAGGGTTAGGGGCCTAGGGTTAAGGGATTAGGGTAAGGGTTAGAGGGCTAAGGGTTAGGACTGCACTCAGTTGACCCGGCCGGCTAGAGCCTTCCGGTTAAGCCACTTCCGGGCACTTCCGGTTAGGCTACTTCCGGCTAGGCCACTTCCGGTTAACCCACTTCCGCCCTCTTCCGGCTTCTTCCGCCCACTTCAGGTTAAACCACTTCCGGCGACTTCCGGTTATGACGTCACTTCCGCCCTAGCTAGGCTCCTTATACTACTCATGGCATACCAAACAAATTGACTAGACAGTGATTCCTCCAGTACAAGTTATACCATTTTATTTGATATTAAACATTACAAAAATAATTTGAAATAAATTTCCTCGTTCTTTTCAAAAACATACTTTGAGCATGCATAATTCAATTTACTCAGTAAATCAAGCACCGCATGATTTACAAAAATCTATGTTTACCTATTTCAGAAAAAATATTGTCACTAGTCCTTCAGCGAGTGATGTCACGTATGATAAAGAGACCAACAACTTTAATGAAAACGGAAAAGACCAAATCAAAGAAGAAGTAAACACATTTTTATCCTATCAAAAATATATTCAAATAAGCTACATATCTGTTTGTAAGACAAATTGTGACATAAACATACGAAAACTACGTCCACAAAAACCAGTGAGTTTCAACTGACTTGAAACAAGTAAAAAATTCTAATGGGAACCATCTTTTTTAATATTTTTAGATAAAGAAGAAGAATCTCTTTGATGATATGCGAAAGAGGTCTACTTTCGTCACCTCTACAGAAGAGAGGATATATAATCAAAAAAATGATTGCCAGGATGATGGACATCACGATCACATGCATACATCTCTGGGTCAAGAAACATCAAACAGCGAATACAGTCATCTACATTTGAAACAATTACACGACACAACACATGCTCAACCTGTGCAGACCAAATTGGAATGTGAAACAAAAGATGATAGTAAAAATGCAGAGTACTTCATCCTTCAAAAAGAATAGGTTTTTTGGTTATTGTTTAAACCTTTGATTTTCATGTTATAAAAATTTTGTATAGTACTTTCCAATTTTTAGAGAATTTTTCCAGAAAAATTATTATAAAAAAAACATACCTTGTTTTTTTATTGGAAAATACTAGTACTCACATTTTCTGGTGATAAAACAATTTTGAAAAAAGAAATTAAATCAAAGAAAAGGCAGCTAAAAACTAGTGGGTAAAATAATAATAAGATAGACAAGAGTACGAAAGCCCAGAAGGCTCATTCGAGATTCAAGATTCGAAATACGAGATTCGAAATTCGAATTTCGAGATTTAAGATCCAGATTAACCAATCAAAAGCTTCCAAAAGGCTCATTCGAGATTCAAGGTTCGAAATACGACATTCGAAATTCGATTTCGAGATTCAAGATCCAGATTAACCAATCAAAAGCGGGTTCAATATTTGATTACTCCCCTTTATTATGATTTTACTATCAAGAAATCGTTTAATATATAAATAACAAATAGGCCATTCAATTAAATTACAATGCAAGAAAGAGTGTTATATATATTAGAAGGAAATTTAAATAATCACTGGATTTTTGATCAGCAAGATATACTTCAATTTATATTATGGCTTCTTAAATATTAAATAGAATACATATATCAGGAATATATATATTTTTGTATTGTCTACTTTGTTTACGGGGTTGATGACATATAATTAAAGTTATGAATACGTGTCAAGTGTCTAAAGTTTAACAATAACTCCACCCTTCCCCACCCCGCCTGCCTATTTTTCCAAACACAATGAAAGGCTTGAAACATGAAAGACGACGTAGTTATTGATAAACAAAAATCGCGTTCGTTTTCCTGATAGAGGAAATACATAAAAATTAAGTATTCAATTACTTATCTTTATTTAAGGCTTTGATTTCTTGAATTAATCAAAAATTATATCTACAATACAGCTTTGCAATATGAATTAAAATAAATGCGGCATTTATCTTATCTTATATCAAATAGTAGATGAGTCTAAATTAGATGCAGAAGTATATAGCGTTATGGTGTTATATTTAGTCTCTGACCATAGCTTTATGGCCAAAAACTAAAATATACTCTTATTAAACCTTTTATAACGCTACAGTTCGATTCAGCAGTCAAGTCTCACTGCACAAGTGTACCCTTTATAAATGTAATGAAATATATACCCTTAAATTACTGTGCAGCGTAGATACGACTCATATTATTTCATATTTAATTATAATCAAATGCAACATTCTCCATCAGCAATGATCTGATGAAATAAAATTAGTTGACCTACTTGTTCCGCAAGTCAACGATATAATATAATATAGTATATATATATACGTATTTACTATTTTGTTAAATTAGAAAAATGAGATTATATATGTATTTTTCAAAATGTAATCCAAATTTTAATTTTATTTCGTTTTAATACATAAAACATTTTTTCTTGCATTATCATTTTAGCAAATGATACATTTGTTATAAATATATTCAACAATTTCTTGATAGTAAAAACGTAACAAAGGGAAGTAATCAAAAGTTGAACCCGCTTTTGATTGGTTAGTTTGGATCTCGAATTTTGAAACTCGAGTTTTGAATCTCGAATTTCGAATCTCGTATTTCGAATCTTGAATCTCGAATGAGCCTCCTGGGCTTTCGTACTTTTGACATCTTTATTACAAGCTACAATTTAATTAATATAAATTCTTTTGAAAACAGAGTGTATCAAATTGGAGAAGATAGAGGCAATGCACAACAATTATACTAACTATACTGCTATTTTAGCTCACATGAGCCGAAGGCTCGAAATACCGATATTTTGATTTTTCTGTTGTCTGTTGCCGTCTGCGTCGTCGTTGTCGATGTTGTCATAAACTTTTCATATTTTTATTCCTTCTCCAGAACTACTAAGCCAATTTCAACCAAACTTGCCAGAATGTATCCTTGGGTGAAGGGGGATTTAAATTTTGTCCAAATGAAACCTCACGATTTTTTTCTAATGGAGACAATTATTAATTAGAGAAAAAAATAAACTCATAAGAAAGCATTATCAGGTGATGTAGATTAATTTTTGCTCAAATCAGGCCTCCCGAGGGTAGGTGGGGCCCACAATGGGTGATCAAAGTTTAACATAGGAATACATAGGAGAGATCTTTAAAAATCTTCTCAAGAACAGTAAAGTTATGATTGCATCCTCGGGTTGTGTAGATCCACGTTTGTTCAAATCATGACCCACGGGTGTAGGGTGGGGTCACAACGAGTCATCAAAGTTTTTTCTTATGAATGCATTGTGAAAAATCTTTTAAAATCTTCTCAAATACAGCAAAGCTGATATTGGTCATATTTATATCGTAGCATCTAAAAGAAGTGTAGATTCAAGTTTGTTCAAATTATGACCGCCAGTTTAACAATTCAGGATGGGTCCACAATGACGGAACAAATGTTCACATAGGAATACATAGGAACAATGTTTCTTAAAATTTTCTTAAGATCAGAAAAGCTGTATATGGTCATATTTATACTTTAAATGTTTGCTTTTTTCGCTTCTCTTTGTAATGTTGACTCGAATACTGTTTGTTATCTCGACATGTTTCATTTCAATACTAATCTGATCAATTTTCCGCTTTTCCTAGATTATATGTTCAGAAGAGCGATGTGGCCATTGACATTTTGTTTTATAATTTGTATGAAGTTTATTTTTTCAATTGCCCTTAAGATTAGGACCTATTTAATATGTGGTTTTTGTGTATAACTAATGATGTCACAAAGCATTTTTATATAACTATTTTACAGTTTACTCCGTCTCCTAACTAAATCTAAATTTGATAAGATTGATAATAATTATTTGGATCTTGTGTTTAAATTATGACAAAATTAAAATTAATTGACACAAACTTGTAAAACAGGTTGATGGGTAGTATATACATGTACATTCTGCTCTACTAAAAAAAATAAAATGCATACATGAATGCCAGCCTTCTATTCCTTTTGGTGTATTTTTTATGGTAAGGTCAAACTAGACCAGTCTAATTATTAACCCATAAACATAATCAGGAGAAAGGGGTTATTGGAACATTTTTAAAAAATAATGCATTGCTTTCAGTTGTTTCATAACCCAAGAGGCATTATGTGTTTTGGTTACATTTTTAATAGATGTGTCTTAAACCGGATTTTTAAAGGATATATTTTTTTTTAGAACTCTTTGAAATATTTTTTTTATATCAAATCTGATCTAAGATAAACATGAAAATATCCCTTCGAAACATTTGAATAGTCTTCATGAAAAGGTCAAGGATAGTCCATTTTTGAATCCTCGACAGCAGAAAACTGATTTTGATTCGTGATAATGGATATTGAAAATCAAAGGTTTTTGAAACCCCAAAGTTTTATAAAAGAAGATTCAGCTAAAACAATTCGTTATCACCTTAAATTTCAATATGCCTCGTTTTAGAAATTGTTCATACGTAGAGCTTGGTTGTTAGATTACCATTAACGTCTTTTTCAAGTAAAATATCCAATTATAAGACAGATGTGTCAGACTCTGCGATATCTTTTATCTCAAGCTCACCCTAAAACAACATAAAATATATAATTTACATCTAGATATTCTATGAATTTAATATTCTGATTAATAAATAAAAATAAATTCTGTAAGATAAAGATGAAATTAATGAGCGAACAGTGATCTAGCTAATAAAGAATTCAACAAATGTAATTCTCTGGCATTTGCACGGATTCTCGAAATTTCCAGAAGTGAGATCAGGTGCATAGTAGGAGGAAGCACCCCTTGTTTACCGGTCACTCCCGTCGTGAGTCCTGTATATAAATAGACAAATCTGACTGTAATGAAACATCTGTCAAAAGATGACCCCGTGAAAGCTTGCGTTTGCTATTGACGTCATTATAACTACTATAAATTTTACGAAATGCTCATTTAAAAATAGAATTTTAAGTCCCTGTAGCATCAACCTACGTCTGAATAGCCATTCCTCGTAAGAAAAAAATTTATCGTTCTCATGAACATTCTCCTGGGTAGCGAATAGATTATGGTTTCGTAAGAAGGGATAGCTTCGTTGGCCTCACTTAAGAATAAGATGTACTATAAGTTCATTCTAAGATACATTTAAGTGGTGATATAAATAAATATAATCTATGAATATTTGAGTACATCTGTTTAAACTGATGAACATATATATAGGGAATAAATGAATCATGCATAATAATTGATATTTATTCTTTATATCTACTGATTCATCTTGAATATAATTTGAAATAAAAATACTAATTCTTGATGTAAAACGGTGAAATTTAAGATAAAATTTTCATATTAGAAGAATTGTGCGTGTAAGTTTAACGTAAAATTGTGCATAACATTTAAATATACTTTTAGTTAATACAAGTGTAAGAAAATACAAGAAAAAATAAAGGCTTTGATTCATATCCCATAGTTTTATTTTTTATATTAAAGTAATTTAATATTGAATGCCAGTGCTTAAGACCCCATCCTTCCAACACGAATTCGTGTACTCAGAGTTATAGTAAAATTATAAACATGAATACTACACTTTTCAAAGCAGAAAATCACTTTCCCAAATTAAATTTTCTTAATTTTAGTCCGTGACAATGCCTGTTTTCATAGTATTCCTAGTTTCGATACTGTGGCAATAGAAGTGTCAGAAACTGAATCAAAAGGTTAAAATGCTCTACTAAGCACATACTCTAGATCAATGTTACATGTAACAGTAAATATGCTGAATATTTATCTCTCCTGTGCGGATTCTTGTATATACACTGTCTTCTTCTTTAAATTAGACAGTTTCTCCATTACGTCTGAAAATAATTTGAAACAAAAAAGACAAATAAGAATAGAACACGATTTTCTTTTCTGAAATCTATATTATTCCCATTTACCTTTATTTAAAAAAAAACAACTGAGATCCCGTTTTCCAATTTAACTTTTGACTAGTAAAATTGATATTCTTGCCGATTTTTTTTATCATTGAGTGTAAATAAACACTAAC